GAAGGCCCTACCCAGTATTAGTATAGTGTTCCTAATAAAGTGTTTGGTATTCATAAAACATGTTTTAAAAAAAAAAAGCCCACGTCATACTGGTTGGTAATGAAATTAAATGTTTCCATTTATCTATTCTGCTGGAGACTTTGCTCTGTCACACTTTTCACACAGTTTCTGCAGGTAAACCCAGACAAAGTCCATCATCTTTTTATCTGAAAAGTGGTCTATTAATTACTATGTTACTTTCTGTATTCATCTTGAATAACTGTTTTATCTTGGCCTATCCTGGGTACACTGGGTGTGAGATGGGAACACAGTCCATGCAGTCCATGCATACACACATTCAGACACTCATTCACCCCTAGAGACAATTTACCGTAGCCAGTCCACCTACCAGCATGTTTTTGGGAAGTGGGAGGAAACCAGTGAATCCAGAGGAAACCTACACAGACACAGGGAGAACTCCACACAGACAGTAACCTGAGCTTTGGATCGAACTGGGGACCCTACGCTACCCGATGTGCTTGTTATTTCTTTAATGACTCACAAAAATGAGCTGTAACACTTGCTTTATTTTATTATTATTTTTTTTAGAAAATAATTAAATAAATAAATTAAAATTTCACTCTTTTCCACTGACATTCTAGATATAAAATAAATATTTAGGACAAAAAGAGGAAAAAAGGCTCAGTAGTGCCAAATTGACAGTACTACATACAAACAGCTTTGGTTATTTATATACACACACACACACACACACACACACACACACATATATATATATATATATATATATATATATATATATATATATATATATATATATATATATATATATATATTTACTTTACATATTTATTTCGTAGCTTAAAATTTGTGTTCACGTATTTGTGTTCAATTTGTGTAATCATGTATTATATGTTTATCAATACTTCAAAATTTGCTCTCAGATATGAATTATAAGATTCGTGTCAACAGGTTTTCTGTTCTTTTCTCAGCACAGGCAAAGGGGTTGAAATTCTCAGCGATACAACACTATTAAATAATTAACATTTTTGAAAGTTTAACAGAGCAAGCTCCATTCTGAGGCACTGTAGAGTGAAGCGGAGACACTCAGATGTGTGTGTGAATGTATGTATGAGTGTGTATACTTACTCCAGGGTGGTTGGGGGCATACTATGAGTTTTTGCTGACATCTCTCTCTCTTTCTCACACACTTTCTTTTCCCCTGTGTGCTTCTTTTATATTGTATCTTTCAGTCTCTGGCAGACCAGAGGAATGTCTGATGCAGCAGGGCCTGCGCTGCTGCTCTCCTGCTGCTGTGCTCTGAAAACGAAAAAAAGGAGAGAAAGAGGGAAAGTTCGAGACTAGACCACAGAAATGTAAACACGTCTGGAGCTAAAATAACTCAGCTTTCATAGAAAACACCCCTCAGTGACAGCGCTGAGAGCTACACCCTCAACTAAGCTCAACACTACAAGAGTGTGTCCTGTCCTGTACCTTCACCATATTGTTCCCCAGGCAAAGAGGCTAATTTTACACCCAATAGTCAGGCACCTTCTGAAAACGATGTGGCTTGTAGCAAGGAAAAATTATTGGAAATGAATTGGCCAAAATAATTTTTTAGAGGAACGACAAAAATGTAATTTTCGAATTGGTTTTTTTGAATAACTCATTATAGACCAAGGCTAGGTCCAAACCACATACTATTCTAAATAGTGTAGCCGAAATAGTATGCCACAAGAAGTGCATTATAATTTTAACCTACTATATAGTACAGTAGTAGATGGTTTCAGATGTAGAAAGAGTAAAGATCAAAAGTAGACATAACTCCAGTTTTGATTTTTTTTTTTTTAAATGTGCAATTTAAGCGGATACAACACCAAAATCCAAATTTATAAAGGTACACTTGCTAAAATAGCTGAAGTATTGTCATGATTTGTTATTGTACCTCTGTTGCATCCACCTCATCATAGCCTATATATCACATTTAGTCACTGTCAGTTCACTTCTGTTGGCAATATGCATGATTTGTTTTACAGTAAAAATGTTTGCTATAGTGTGCACTACAAGAATGAGAACTACGTTTTCCTTTTAAGATTGGAGTGTGTCATGTGTTTTTTATTATTATTAGTGATGTTCTGTTATGTACAGATGAGTTACTTAGTTATTTAGTATAGGAATATACTGTAGATTATACCAAATATCAAGTGAATATTTAAACAGCAGTCTCAGTTTTATTGTTATATTGTACTGTTTACAAAATTGCATTATAAAGTAGACATTCTAGTTCTAGACTTTTCTGAGATTGGTTTTTGGGATGTAAAAAAATTAAACCAAGGTAAATCATGTTTGATCTCTTTCCATGTGATATAGCAACCAACAAAATTCAAGTGAAAAACAAACAGAAACATTGTATGAAAAAAAAAAAAGAAAAAATGTGCAATAACCTGGTTACACAAATGTGCACACCCTTTAACTAATACTTTGTTAAAGCACATTGCTTGTAATACAGCACTCAGTCTTTTTACGTTACTGTCTAACAACATCGCACATCTTGATTTGGCAATTTTATCCCACTCTTCCTTGCAAAATTGTGAGTAGATCTCCTGTGCACAGTCCTCAAGTAATTCCACAGATTTCGATTGGATTTAGATCTGCGCTCTGACTGGGCCATTCCAAAACGTTGATCTTTTTTTCTTGACTTGGGTTTGTGCTTTGGGTCGTTATCATGCTGGAAGGTGGAATTTTTCTTCATCTTTAGCTGTCTAAAAGACACCTGCAGGTTTTGTGCAAAAACAGACTGGTATTTGGAGCTATTCATAATTCCCTCTATCTTGACCAGAGCCCCAGTCGCAGCTGAAGAGAAGCAGCCCCATAACATGATACTGCCACCACCGTGCTTCACTTTGTGTTCTTTGGGTGATAAGCTGTCTTGTTTTTGCACCAAACATATCTTTTAGAATTATGCCCAAAGAGTTCTGCCTTGGTCTCATCAGACCATAACACATTTTGCCACATGGTGTGGGGTGATTTAGTTGAGTTTGGATGTTTTTTGTGAGAGAGGACTTCCGTCCAGCCACACTACCCCATAGCCCAGACATGTGAAGAATATGAGAGATTGTTGTCACGTGCAGAGAGTAATCAGTACTTGACAGATATTCCTGCAGCTCCTTTAATGTTGCCGTAGGTCTCTTGTCAGCCTCCCTGATAAGTTTTCATCTTGTACTTTTGCCAATTTTGGAGAGACATCCTGTTCCATGTCCCCGTGGTGCCCCATTTCCTCCATTTGCTCATGATGGCCTTCATGGTGTTCCTTGGTATGTCTAATATTTTGGAAATTCTTTTGTACCCCTTCTCGATACCTGATCAATAGCTTTCAGCAATGAGATCCCGTACATGCTTTGTAAGCTCTTTGCTGTCCATGGCTTCAGCAGTTGGATGAAATCAAAAAGCTGTTAAGAAAATCCTATAGAAACAACTGATCTTTATTAATCAGAGTCACTTCATTGATGATAGGTGTATGATAATTACTTTTGAAAATGAGCCTGAATGTGATTGGCTAATTCTGAGCACAGTCAACTCTGAGCACATGCCCCATTATAAAAGGTTGTGCACACTGCTGCCAAGTTATTGTACATTTTCTATTTTTTCTCTATTTTTTTTCCTATTTGTTTTTCACATGAATTTTTTTGCTATATCACACCATTGGAAAAAGCTCTGATGATTTATCTTGGGTTCATTTTTTTTTACATCACAAAACCTTGCAATTTTAACAGAGCTGTGTAGACTTTTATATCCATTGTACATTCACATTTCCATTTAATAGAAAAGATGTATCCTTAAGGGTACCGATTCGTACCATTTTTCCATGGAGTGTCCTGAAAACCTGTTGTATCCACAAGCACAAACCTAAGAATGTGAAGGAGCTTAAAATGTTCTGCAAGGAGAAGTGGTTCAATATCCCTTTACAAGTGTCTCCAAACTTGTGCTGATATTATTTCCAGGGGAGGTTAGGTGCCATAATGTGTTAAAATAAAATATAACTTCTTGAATGTGCTATTAATTTTTTATTCATTTTCATAAAGGGTGTCAATGATTCTGAAGCTGGCTGTATACCATACTAGGATCTATGGTTATTATACTGCGAAATTTTCACACCCCATTTCAGTTCCAGGCAAAAGGGCAGTCAGAAAAGAGTAAAAGTGTAAGAGTGTATGAATTCAGGTTCCATCCATCTCTCTCTCTCTCTCTCTCTCTCTCTCTCTCTCTCTCTTTCTTTCTCTCGCTCACACATACACACACACACACACACACACACACACGCTCAACCTGCAGGAGTATTTGGTAAAACTTGCTGGCGTTCAGCTTTTCAGCTCATTCTGTCTCCTGGAGGCTTTTTGTTTGTTTGTTTTTCTTTTTCCTCACAAACTGCATTAATGTTGTTAGACCGTCAGCACTGGCGCACGAGGAGGCAGTTTTCACACACACAGCTGGACTTTTTTCTCTCCTAACGGTAAGCCATCACAATATTATTACCCGACTTCATGAAAGAAAGCTCCGCCAGTCATTGATAGCCTGCGCGCTAGATGTAGCTGTAGACTGCGTCCCAAACCACATACTTACGTACTACATAGGATGTACTAGGATTAATAGTGATGAACTACGTCCTAAACCGTAGCAGTGGAAGTCATGGTTGGCTTACTATTTTCACCTTTTTGACGCACTATATGCGTTTGGGACGTAGCACATTTCACTGTGGCTCACTTCAGATAAGCGTAGCAGAGGTCGTGTAGCCTACTATTTTGAGACACTATTTAGGACGGCAATATGCGGTTTGGGACTTGACCTTCGTGTCTAGGTTAGAGTGACGCTCAGGTCCAAAGAGTTGTCGATAGACGCTACATATCAAAGTCTCCCTCCTCAAATTCTAGACAAAAGTGTTTAGAAAAGTACGGCTGGATATCTTTCATATATCACTGAAGATTTTTGTGGCCGAGGGAGGGGGCGCGGTGGTCTAGTGGTTAGCGCGCTTGCCCCGCATGACCAGGGCTCAGGGTTCGATTCCCATCTCAGCCCTGTGTACGTGGAGCTTGCATATTCTCCCCATGCTTCAGGGGCTTCCTCCAGGCAACCCCAGCTTTCTCTCCCCCAGTCCAAAGACATGCACTGTAGGCTGATTGGCACCTCCAAATTGACCACTGTGTGTGTGTGTGTGTGTACAATTGTACCCTCCAATGAGTTGTCACTCCATTGAGGGCATGCCCCAAGCCTCCCTGGGATAGGCTCCAGGTTCCCTGCAACCCTGTGTAGGATAAGCAGTACAGAGGATGGATGGATGGGTTTTTCTGTACAAGTGCTCCATGTTAATACATTAAAACCTCTTTTCGTAGCGAAACATTTCCCCTCAAGTTTTTCTTATACACCTGGTGGTGGTGTTGTGCTGACTTGCAGCAGGCTAGGGCACAATGCTGCTCTTACGAGAAAAGAACCAAAATAACAACAACAGCTTTTCTGCAGAAGAGAAAAACATCTGGTATTTCCACTCTGTGGCCAAAACTTCATTTTCGAGCCTGAAGTTGATTTCTTTTAACTTTCAGGGCTATAAAAACGTCTAGACGACAAAGCCATCTTTTCAGTTGTGCTAATGTTTTATTTATTTTTTTAAAAGCTTTTCTTGGAACAGCAGTAAAATAAACCGGCTCACACGTACAGACTGTTGTGACTGCTGTTCACATGATTGAGTCTGATGAAGTGACAGATTTTGGTAGCAGTGTTGTAATGGACGTCACGTGATACATCTCTTTATGGGTAGTTTGAGACTAATGAGTAACAAATTTAAGTCAAGGTTGACTGTACTTTGGTTGTATGGGAAAGTTGTCAAAACAGCAACAACAACAAAATTATACACTCACCAGTCAACACCTGTACACCTGCACGTTTATGCAGTTATCCAAACAGCCAATCACGTGGCAGCAGCACAATGAATAAAATCATGCAGATACAGGTCAAGAGCTTCAGTTAATGTTCACATCAAACATCAGAATGGGGAAAACATGTGATCTCTGTGACTTTAACCGTGGCATGGTTGTTGGTGCCAGATGGGCTGGTTTGAGTATTTCATAAACTGCTGATCTCCTGGGATTTTCACACACAAAAGTCTCTAGAGTTTCCACAGAATGTTGAGAAAAACAAAAAACATCCTGTGAGCGGAGGGTCTGAAGGCTGAGACATCTTGTTGATGAGGGAGATCAGAGGAGAATGACCAGACTGGTCTGAGCTGACAGGAAGTCTATAGTAACTCAAATAAGAGCTCTTTACAACCGTGGTGAGCAGAAAAGCATATCAGAAGACACAACACATCAAACCTTGAGGTGGATGAGCTACAACAGCAGAAGACCACATCAGGTTCCACTCCTGGCAGCCAAGAACAAGAATCTGGAGGCTATCATGGGCACAGACTCACCGAAACTGGACAGTTGAAGACTGGAGAAAGACCAGGTGATTTTTTTCTGATCTTCAACTGTCCAGTTTGGGTGAGTCTGTGCCCATGATAGCTTCAGATTCCTGTTCTTGGCTGACACAAGTGGAATGCAATGTGATCTTCTGCTGTTGTAGCCCATCCACCACAAGGTTTTATGTTTTGTGCATGCTGAGATGCTTTTCTGCTCACCACGGTTGTAAAGAGTGATTATATGAGTTACTATCCTTCCTGGCAGGTCAAACCAGTCTGGCCATTTTCCTCTGACCTCTGTTATCGACAAGGTGTTTCCACCCACAGAACTGTCACTCACTCAATGTTTTTTTGTTTTTCACACCATTCTGTGTAAACGGTTGTGTGTGAAACTCCCAAGAGATTAGCAGTTTCTGAAATACTCAAACCAGCCCATCTGGTACCAATATCCATGCCATGGTCAAAGTCACAGAGATCACACTTTTTTCTTCAGTCTGATGTTTGATGTGAACAATAACTGAAGCTCTTGACCTGTATCTGCATGATTTTTTGTATTGCACTGATGCCACGTGATGCTGATTAGATGAACGTGCTGGTGCACAGGTGTCCCTAATAAAGTGGATGGTGAGTGTATATGATTTTTATCAGCATAATATTTAACAGTAAAATAATTTAACAAATATACAGTACATTTTGTGTCTAGAAAAAAAAAATCAGGACTGGAGTCATTTAGTACCTTTTAGTGGATGAATGAGGGAACAGAAGCCATTTCAGCTCCCCATGTCTCAACATTGGTATTCTTTCACCCTTTCTAACTGCCAGGGAGATGAGAATCAACCAGGAGACTTTCTTGTGCTGAGACCTTCCAGTAGAGTCACAAAGTGATCTTATGATGCAGTGTTTGCAAAAAGTGCCACAGTCATACAACCTTCTTCTCTTTTTTCTTCTCGTCTTGCACACATGATGGAGTTTGTGAAGCTAGTTACTTAACAACTCATGACTGCAGACGGAGCTTCAAGTATCCTGTCTGTCCAAGCTGCATATGTAGCTTTTACCATGGTTCAGTTGGTGGTTTTATCACCAAACCAACTAACTTAGCTAGACTCCATTAGTGTGCATATTGGGAGTGGGTTTGGGTTCCCTCATTTCTCCCCTCATCTCTCTGCCTGGCTGAGTCCTCGATTGGAGTTACTGATTCAGAGTTTTTTCCAAACCTCCCCATCATCTACCAACTGGCAGGCCTGTGGCTAAGCACTGCTAACGTGGTTGAATGAGTTTCCCTAGCTGTACCAACAGCTGTTCGCGGCTGAGCCTGCTGCGTTAGCTGGATGCAGTCAGCAGTAATAATTAGATAAGGGCATGAAAGGTATGAAAAGTTCATAGCTCATGATTTTCAAAGAAGACAAAGTTAAATCTCCTAATTCAGTGTTATGGCAAGTTATAAAGTATGTGGTTAGAGAAACATTTGAAAAATGCTACCAGTCAAAAGTTTGGACACACTAGACTGAATCTGTATTTTTTTTTCATTGTCTTCAGTTTGATAAAAGCTTCTGGCTGAAATTTGTTTCTATGACTAATGTAAATAGTGAAGTTAATGTATACGTGTATTTATGAATTAAATTGTATTTTTAATAAATGGTTTTTACTCTTATTTCTTTACTTTTAGTGCTCAGCATTTTTGGGAACTTTCTGGGAAACTGTCTGGGTGGTTGCCTTATGACGCTGATTGAGAAAACAGCATGAGTGTGCAAAGCTTCTTCAGGAATTCTGTTAGTAATTTAAAATATAAAATAGTTTTTATTTGTTTAGCAATTTTCTTGGTCACTGCATAATCCCATATGTATTATGTTAATGTTTTCATTAATAGTTGAATACAGTAAAATAGAAGAAAAGCCTTCTATGAGCAGGTGTGCCCAAACTTTTGACTGCTGGTGTACATACGTAAGAAATATTGGCACCTTTCAAATGAATGGGTAAAAACTTTATATTCATCTTGTGTCATCATCATCATCATCTTCTTCTTCTTTTTCTTCTTCTTCTTCTAACTACCACAGCTGTTTGTATAATAGCTATTTGAAAGGGTTACACTAAAGAAGCCCTTCCTGAGAGCAGTTTACAAAATGCAGCTTCTCAGCTTCAACAAACATCACTGGCATTACAAATGGAATCGTGTGTTCTGGACAAATGAGATGAAAATCATACATGTACATTTCAGACATGTACACAATTAGCATGCTTGGAGAAACGGGAATCGCATACAAGGAAGACCCCAGATCCACTGTAACCCCAAATCCACTTGGCTGTAGACTGATAATAAGCTCAAACATACAGCTAATTTTCATGAAAGTTACCTGGAATTCAGGAGCTGAGTGTATATTGGTTGACCATTAAAACAATCTAGAAATACAATATATGGCCAAAGGTTTGTGGACACTTAACCATCACACTCATATGTGCTTTTTAAACATCCCATTCCAGATTTAGTCCCCCTTTGCTGTTATAATAACCTCCACTCTTCTGGGAAGGCTTTCCACTAGATTTTGGAGCATGGCTGTAGGGATTTGTCCATTCAGTGACAAGAGCATTAGTGAGGTCAGACGCTGATGTTGGGTGAAGAGGCCTGGCATGTAGTCTGTGTTCCAGTTCATCCCAAAGGTGTTCAGTGGGGTTGAGGTCAGGGCTCTGTGCAGGCCACTCGAATTCTTTCACTCCAACCTTGACAAACCATGTCTTCATGGACTTCGCTTTGTGTACAGGGGCATTGTCATGGTGAACCAGGTTTGAGCATCTTAGTTCCAGTGAAGGGAAATTGTAATGCTAGAGCATACAAAGACATCTTATACAATTGTGTGCTTCCAATTTTGTGGCAACAGTTCGGGGAAGGACCACATATGAGTGTGATGGTCAGGTGTCCACAAACTTTTGGCCATATAGTGTAGCATTATCTCTGAGTTTCAGCTGTAGAATTAGTTTTTTAAAATAGGCTGCTTTGTTTTAATGTTGCAGCATTTTCAAGGTAGGCACTACTTTTATACTACTGGTACACACACACACTTATATATATACATGCTGGTCATATATACAGTTGACCATAATTTATAGAAGTAGACAGTTTGAAGCTGAGAGGCTGATACTGAGAAAGTCAGCTGTCTGTACTCAAAGATTAGTACACCCTACAATATTTTTTTTTATTAACACACAAAGAAATCATTAGCTAGTAGGGGAAGATGGTGCTGGATCAGCACGAAAGGCAAATTTAAATGCAAAGTACAGATCACACTTTTGCCAACTCCATTCTCTTGTCCTCTCCCTTTTCACGACTTTTCGATTAGCTTTTGGCTGAACAGTTCTCTCAGATCTGGCTGAGCTAAAGAAGAAGGGAGGATGATGAAAGACATATTCTCTCCATTTCCCTTTCACATTTTCTCTTTGAGACATCAATAATTCTTTCACATATGGCTTTTCTCTTTATATCCACAGATTTTCTGTATGATTTCTCAGGAAATGAAATTTGCTCTAATAGGTTTTTGTGCTTGTTTTATTTTCTTTCCTTTTTTATTTTTATTTCTTAATTTATAAATTTATAAAGTAAGAATTCTACTCAAAGATAAATATCTGTGTGTGA